CCTTGCTCCTGTAGACCGTCTTTAGACAAACTCATTCCCTGATCTCCACTTGAGGTGACCATTGAATCTACTGTATCTTGCATAGTTGCTCTGTGACAAACAAACCGCAGGATCTTGAATCCCAGTTTTTTTGTGTTACAGAAGACCCACTCTTACACATACCCCACAACTGAGGTGACTCATCTAGATTATATTGTTTTCTCCACAGTGAGCTGTAATTATGAAGAGTTAGGTAACTGGAGCAAAGGGCTCAGTCCCCTATTCACATTTGCTGAAGTGCTGATAAAGAACATTTTCATTCTTGGAATAGTAGAAATCAGATGAGACACAGCAAGAGTTTTGATTTGCAGCTGGTGCGTTCGTGAGGGAGTTATGTGTTGCTGGCAGCAACTATCAAGGGAGGATCTGTTTAGATGTAACAAGAGTTAGTAATGTAGGAAGGAAGTTTTGCAAGTAGAATGAATCACAATATTATTAAGTGGAATTCGATCATAATAGTCTCTCTTCAAATGTCACATCCTGTACCATCTGTTAGATATTCACATTAATATATTAGCACTGCAGTGTTCCAGTTGCACCGCACCCACTTTAGGCCACCTCAGATTGTTTTGGTTGCCTCAGTTGACCAGCACTGATGATGAGAGAAACAGCCACACTGAGCTAATATCCTTCTCAGATCCTTGGGATTTAGTGGGTTGTAACTGGGCCCTGCTTTCTTCATCAGATGGGGAGAGGAAATCCCCCTCACCCCTGTAACCTCTGGAATGCAGAGAAACACAACATCAGGTTCAGCTATGGCTCAGGTATCTTAAATGTACAAACACTCATAAATGCAGTTATTTCTGCATTCATTGCAGGAATCTCAGTACATGATGCCGACTTTGACTAACCACAATGCTAAGCGTTTGTATGCACCATTTAAACTCCTAGCTTCTGCACACGTGAAAAAGAGTTCAATGACAGATCATACCTAAAGAAAGCAAGCTGCACGTTTCCGAACACGCGGAGATAGAAATAGGAGCTGATTTTGATCGGTGCCTAATCAGCTGAAGCATCCCTAGATAATTACATGGATGGTTGGTGGTCATGTTCTATTTTAGGTAAATGACCCATTTGCAAGGCTTAGTAGCATCAACAAGGGCTGTTTATATCTATTTGCTGTAATCTTTTATTAGTATCTGTGTGAGTCCTAGCAAACCTTGGCGCATCCGTGCCAAAGTGTTAAGGCGAGCAGGGAGGGAACACTTGCTTCTTCTCCAAAGGGAATCTTAATGAATTCCTTTAGCCCACACTGCACTGGTGTCATCTATATTTCAGGAGCTTAGCTACCAGAGTGGTCTTTCAGACTGTCCCCCTCCTTCTCCATAACCCTACATCCCCTAAAAAGGACCAGTACCAAGCAGACACCAGTTCCATATCTGGGTTAGGCCTAAATATTCATTCCTTTTTTTTTTTTTGCCACTGCCCTCCATTATACCCCTGCATCCAACTAAGGGTGACCTGCAGCTGGTGGAAATGTGGTGGAACCCCCTTCCCTAAGGTCTGAACTTCCTTTGGAAAAGTTGCACTAAGCACTTTCTTGCACTATGCAGCATGCAGCATATAGGCCTATATATATTTTGCCTTCAGTTTATTAACTGTGATTGCTTTATTTATAGCTTTGGGATCTGTGTACATGCGCACAGGGAAGTGGGTTGCAAGTGAATAATTTAAGAAGTGATCTAGGTTATTTTAGAAAGGTGTGTATGTTTGTGTGGATATCCTTTCTTTGAGACCTTTCACTGGCCTGGTTACTGATAACAAAGACAGGAAGAGCATAGGTTAGAGTCCACTTCCTCGTCAGGGATAGAGGAACCACGATGCCACATCGTCAGCACCCACAGCAGTCACTCTATAGCTGCCATGTTGTAGTGTATGTTGTTTTGATGCAAGCCACACATCCCCCTCTGCTTTTGGATAATATGAGAAAATGTTGCACAATTGCACATTTATGTAGACATGATTGATATCTACTTTCACACCTGGAGTTTACAACATTGATGTGAAACAACCTCTTAATCTTACAGAGCTTTGTAGTGTATAAAGTTATAATGAAAAAAAAGAACTTAAAATCAGTGGATTTGGAGGAGATTTCTCTGCCATCAGCATGTTTTCTCTCCTCCGCCTTGTCTGGTTAATGCTGTGCTCACTCGTCTCACTGTATGAGCTGGAGTGAAATGTTTACTGTTGGGGAGGAGCAGATTTTGCTATGCTATGAATCAGCTCAGCGCTCCCATTACTGTGACATCCCAAGAGGAAATCATTCTCTCTACAGATGGAGATAAAATTATAGGAGGAAAGAAGGTGGGTGGGGGGGGTTGGTTCTTGTCATGTTGTGACAGCAGTAGTATTGCGTCTTCTGACAGACTGACTTTGAGGATACCAAGTGAAAGTTTCTGTCAATACTCCTGCTCTTATTGACAGATTCTTTAACTGAGTATAGGCCTGTCACGATAACAAATTTTGCTGGGCGATAAATTGTCCCAGAAATTATCGCGATAAACGATAATATTGTCGTTCCGAGACCATTTTCATCTAATATAATGATAATGGCATAATAATGCAGGTACACCTTTTCAAAGATCAATAAACTTTTATTTTTAAACAATATGTAATACTGGAACTGGAAGACATTTTTAATATCCACAAGAAATGAACAAAACAACCAAAAACAATAAATAAAATGGACTCTCACTCTCTGTTAACAAAAAATGCACTGGAATAAAAACCACACACAAGCAAAACAATGAATAAAATGGATGTAGACAAAATATTAAACATTAGGCTCAGACATAAAGAGTGATACATTTCTTAACAGGCAAACCTGTCAGTTAGGACCTTTGTAAACATTTAGTGCAAAAGAGATGAAGCAGATGCCTATTATCGATATTGACTACTCAGGCGTATATGACTATATGTGCCAAACTGCGGCTAACAAAACACCCCAAAAGGGACTTAAGCAGAAAAATCATCAGGGTCATAAGCTGGTGTCATGTTTGAGGCAACAACAGGGGAGGGGGGGGGGGGGGGGGCGACCCCGCCGAGGCAGAAAACAGACAGGGAAAAAAAAAAAAGGGAAGGAAAGGGGGTGAACCCTGTCACCGGGAAAAGTGTGGGTCTCAAAACACCCACATCCACCATGGGTGTGATGCCCCTAGGGTCACCGATGCACCGGAGTGGTTATCCAGTCTCTTTGGTAGAGAGCGAGACGACGAAATCAAACAAGCATGTAAATGGAAATTATCGCGGCCGAAAAAATTATCGAGCTCATTTTATTTATCGTGCGATTAATTGATTTATCGCATATCGGGACAGGCCTAACTGAGTATTTCACTGTTTTATAGTTGGCAGTGAGCTGAGTAAATGGCTGGGTGCTTGGTTTACTGGTTGCTTACTGTTGACCTTTCCCAGATAACAACAGTGAGTGCTAATGCCTAAAACTCTTAAGCTCAGGATGTGCCAAACGGTTAACTGATGAAAGCTGAGTGTCCGTATTAATTAGACAGAAGGTAGGAGAATTGCGTCAGTAGGCTAGTCCACAGTGGGAGTGATGGGCTTGGACTTCTACTGTGTCAGAAGAACACAGGATACTGGCTGCTTGGTTGATCTCCCAGAGAGATAGTCTTAGTGGGCTAAGATGCACTTTTGTCTCATTTTCAACTATCGGCCATTACAATAAAGGGCAGAATGCCAGGCTCCGTCTCTGAAGCATTATATGATCTTTAAAAGTGCCATCAGTGGCTGGTTTAATGGCAGTTTTAATGCAGTGCTTTACAGTCAACCTAGGGATGCTCGGTATTGAAATTTTTTTTTATTGAAATATCCAATCATTGTTTATGATAATGTCGCCCGTTAAAGCTATTAATATTCTTAATTTCTTTGCATAATGACCACAAGTGGAGTTAACCTGTCATACAGAAAGTGTGATGGTCTGCAATCAGTGTAGATGAACGCAACTTATTTGCAGCTTAAATGCAGAAAACACACTTTCTATGTAACAAAAAGACCCTTGTATGCTTTCCTATTCTAGTGACAGCAAGGTTTTTTTTAACATGTAAGGATGTCTGTTTAGTTGAGTCATCATGCAAGTTAGCCACATATTCAACTTCTACATTTTCAAATGTGGCATATGTCACATATAAATAGCTTATCATCGCTGAAAAATAAATGTCAACTTCATTTAGCCATCCTATTCATATCAAACATGCTGCCGTATATTTTACAAGTAGTTAGTTAGCTAATGTATTAGATTAGTTAGCTCTGATCAAAGATATAATAACCAAAATAGCACTTGTTGTCTTGGTGAAATGCCAATAGATGGCTACCAATGGCAGATTGACGATGTTTTAACTGGCCTTCTGATGAATCTGTACACATCTGACACATCTTGATACAATCATTCCCCCGTCCATCCAAAGGCTGTAGACAAGCTCATCCAGAGGTTAAGACATGACAGGCAGGCTTTTACAACGTAGTCAGTTTACACTCTGGTGGAAGTTGTGTCTGGCAGGGATAGAAGATATGGAAGTCAGGCAAAAAGCAATTGACTCTGAGCTTTCACCTTCCGAGGGCAGGGCCCATATAGTGCAGATGGATGGCCAGTGACGTCTCCCTTCTTTATAACGAGGCGAGCACGAGCCCCTGTTTTAATGCGTTCCTAAACGCCGTCTTGCAGTGGAGAATGATAGCTTCATTACTTCTGATCAGCGGCAGTGACCTTTTGATGGCAGACTTTATAAAGTTCTAGGATTCATGAGTGGGCAATTTGGCACTTTAATGGGAAGGGTGGGGGTTAGGCTTCAAGATTTGTTGGAGCAAAGCCTAGCGCCTTGGCACAGCAAGTTACTGTCATAGTCAAAGCTGTTAAGTAACAACTGCCATCTGTCCCAGCACTCGTGTTCTCTCTGTATGGAGGTTATTTACTGTAGGTACTGATATGTTTCCTCTTTTGTCATTCACAGGTTGTGTCAGAGAGTGTCCGGGTGCAGAGAAGTGTATGCGTGGGTGGGCGTGTGTGCGTGTGTGAGTGAGTAAAAGAGACGCAAGGAAGAATCCAGTGATGGCTACCAGTAAAGGTAAAAACCAGAGCTCTCTGGCACTGCACAAGGTGATAATGGTGGGCAGTGGAGGCGTGGGGAAGTCGGCCCTCACCCTGCAGTTCATGTATGATGAGGTGAGTCAACATGTCCATGTAAACAGCTTAAAACTGCTATGGGTTTAAGGTGACCAGATAGCAGATAGAGAAGCTAGAGAAGGTCACCTGCACCTCTTTGTCTAAACAGTTCACTTTGTATTATTTATCCAATGTTCTAATCTAGATATCTGATTTGCTATACATATTGAATGTACGCACTTCCTCTTAAAATGTCAAAGCTAAGCTAGAGTAAAAGTAAGAACATGATGGTGCTACAAAACTACTAATAGGTTAACATGGGGAATCTTGTGAAAAGGATGCTTTTCTCTAGTCCAACGCTTGCTTGACCACAGATGTTGTTGTTTACTGCGTGAAGGCAGAGATGGTCACAGTTTGGCTCTGCTACCAAGCAGAAAATCATCTGCATTTTTCAGTCATCTGTCTGATGTCCATTAGATGGCTCAGACACGCTTCAGTTTTAACCAGTGTTGCATCCTGCACATAACTGCAATGCTTAACTAATGCTTTCTGCATATAAATGCATACAACTCGAAGCATATGTTTATGTTTCACTTATGAAATGTGTCTCTCCATCCACAGTTTGTAGAGGACTATGAGCCCACCAAGGCAGACAGCTACAGGAAGAAGGTGGTTCTGGACGGGGAGGAGGTCCAGATCGACATTCTGGACACAGCCGGCCAGGAGGACTACGCTGCCATCAGGGACAACTATTTTCGCAGCGGGGAGGGCTTCCTGCTGGTCTTCTCCATCACAGAGCACGAGTCCTTCAGTGCTACTGTGGAGTTCAGGTACTGTATCCTGCCTACATCTGTCAGTGTGGGACTGAAAATGTGTAAATGGTGGACCTATGGGAGCTCAGACTGCTATGTATTGCTCTTTAATTATACAATATATCAGTACAGTACATGTTGACCTTTGCTGATATGATAGATATGGTTCTGATTGCTTGGTTACATTCTTGTTGTACACACATGCACCAAATACCGGTCCAAGAAATTTCATATGATTATCTGCCAGCACAATGCCGTGAATTAGTAATGCAAATCCAGGTAAGGAGATTGTGTATGAGCTCTGCATTTAGAAAATATAACCTGCACAACAGGTTTGCTTTAATAGGGCTTATATAGTGTGTTACGTAATATTTGTAGAGAGAGAAGAGTGTGGATGTGTTGTGACAGGAAGGTTTGGATAGGATTTGGACAGCCTCTCTTCATCCTAGCATGAACAAAATACTGAAGCTCAAATGCAGATTTCAGTCAGTAGCATTATAGAATTGCGTACATCTGCAAAATGTTGCTGAAGTAGAATTTAAGTGAGTCTGGGAATCATTGTTTGATCCATTCAGTGCTGAAAATTAGGAAATGGTTCGAGCTAAGAACACATTGAGGCATTTTTGACAACAAGCCTATCTATAAATAATGGGTTACAATAAATAAAGAATGTATAATCAACTACAAAATACCATGAATGGCAGCTATACTGATTTGCCAACCAGGTCTTAAAAAGGTTCAGGTTTTTTTAAATCTAAAAAAACTGCCATGAACTGTTAGATTATGTCAGATTTATCACAATCAAAACTCACTTATTTGAAGAAGAAAAACTGGTGAATATACGAAAAATACACAGTCCTATCCTGTGCCGACAGGGAGCAGATCTTGCGAGTGAAGGCGGAAGAGGACAAGATCCCTCTCCTGCTGGTAGGGAACAAATCGGACCTGGAGGAGCGTAGGCAGGTATCTGTGGACGAGGCCCGAGGGAAGGCGGAGGAGTGGGGCGTCCAGTACGTGGAGACATCAGCCAAAACCAGAGCCAACGTCGACAAGGTGTGTTGACAAGCGCATCGAACCTAGTACATTTGCTATAAATTGATAGTCAAATTTAGGATTTGTATTCATTACTTAATCTTATTTGCATGTTCAGGAGTTTTATGAACTACAAGTGCTTAATGGATTCCTTGTCTCCTCTCTCCAGGTATTCTTTGACCTGATGCGTGAAGTACGAGGCAAGAAAATGTCAGAAAACAAAGACAAAAACGGAAAAGGAAAGAACAAGAAGAACAAGAAGAGCTTCAAAGAAAGATGCTGTTTACTTTGAACTCTTCATGGACCTTAACAACCCACAGTACAACTGATAGGTTGGGGAACAAAGCAGAGCGTCCTTGCCATTGTCATTCAAATGAAATTGTATCTTTTTTAATAGCTGGTTCTAGTTTAGTGTTTAGAACAATCCCAACCACTTCTTCTTTTGTTTTTGCCATTTTTAATTCATGAAATCTGAGCTTCTGTTTTATTGGAAGGTAACCACTGTTGTGACTGTGACTTGGACTGCAGTGCTTGATGGCTCATAGTAAGCCAATGACCAAACTGCCACTGACACTAAATCTGCTGCTCAAGACATTCTCCACTGTTTAACTCAGCGATTATACTGCCTTTGACTTAGGTTCAGTGTGTTTTACACCAGAATTGTTGAGTCAAGTAAACAGTGCTCTTAATTTCTTTTACCCGCTCTGAATCTTAACCTGCATAAATCTTAGTCTATGTTAGTAAAGACCCCTTGACTCTATGTTCATCAATTTACAAGAAACTCTAATGCTGCTGTCTGTCAAGTTTGTAATCATTTTTGATAACACTTAATGTCTTGCCTATTGAAGATGTTGGCCTCATTCATTCATTCATCTTTCCAGACTCTGATCTGAACAACTTCAGACCGTGTTTGGAATCGCTGTTGAGACTGGAAGTTTCAAATGTTTTCATTTTTGAGCCCTCAAGGCTGCTGTTTTGTAGTAATGTTTGTTTTTTCTTTTGGTTTTTTTTCAGTTCATCTGAGGATTTGTGATTTTCTGACCACAGGAGAATCAGACCGTGCAATCAAAGGACTTGTTGCCAAACAGGGTTATTTTATTCCATTTTGTATAAGGCCTTCCATGATTACCACAAATCAATCACAAGATGCTTTGCAGTTTTTTCAGCTGCTGCAAGATAAACTCTTTGGTGACTCTAAATCACAGGAAAAACAAAACAAATGTATGATTACTCAGAGCTTCATGTAAATATTTTTAACATTTGTTAGATATTTTGAGGCTGTGAAAGGGAGGTTTTAATGTGGTTACTAGTATTTCGTTGTTAGTAAGTGAGCAGTGATTCAGAGGAGAGAGCAGACCTATTTTTCATAATGGTTCTCTGCCATGTTCACGTAATCTGGCCCTTCCCGCCCTTCTCACAGTGCAGATTACTTCCTGTTTTACACAGTGTTGAAGTTTGGAGTCTCTACTGTGAGACTGGTGTTGACAATCCAGGAGGCCATCACGCTTCTGGTCCATAATGGCATTATAATCAGTAATGTCTTATTAATCTCAACATTTCTGAAATTCTTTTTATTCCTTGGTCTTTTGAATAACATGCACTACAATTCAGATACCTAAGAAGTGGACTTTGTGCTGAATGGAGTCACGCTGGAGATTTTTAAACAGTTTGTGCCAACAAAATCACAAAAAGTCAAACTATGTTTGTAGATGTACAGTATGTTTGTTAATTAACTGAGTGTATGTGCATTTACCAGGAAATCCTTTCTGTGTCTGTGTGACTGAAGCTTTGACGAGGGCGCCAACTTCTTAACTGTTGTTTAATCAAGTGCTACAGTGAACAAGATGTTTCTACCACTGCCTAAACCATTCTTTGTAACATGCCCTCCCTTTTTTCCTTTTACTTCCTACAGCTGTGAGTATGCTTTTATCTCTCTGCAGCGAGTGTTGCCGAATAAATGCTTTGTTTTCTTTGTAAATACTACACATTATTTTGTCTCTGAAAACCTTTTAAAGCATGAAGTATGTGCGTGTTCCAAATTTTGATTTTATATAAGAACCATAGCAAGAGATGATGATATAATTGAATTTTGAAAGAGATAAAATTGAATGTGAATTGGCTCCCACCAGTAGACGTAGCGCTGCCCTCCGCTGGCTGGTGGAGGTAAGGGAACTGCTGTGTCTGCTTACTGTATGGACACAGTACAGTTATGTTGGCACTAGCCATCGAAGTGAAATGTTATGGTTGTCATTTCCTGTTCCCTTTGGGGCATTTTGTGCCCCAGTTTAGTCACATAACCTAGCAGTTACTCACTTTGCATTGATTGTTCCTCTGCCATCGAGAAAAGGGTGCCAACGGCCTGTTTTTCTTGCATTTGACAGTGATATACTAGCACTGTTTTTTATTAACCTTACAGGCTTATCTTACATGGCAGGATGAGTATAGCGTCACCCTCAAGATGAACAAGTCATGGTTTGTCGTTGCTGAACGCCTGGGGGTGGCTCAGTCGGTGAAACTCATTTCACAATGTGAAAACATGGTTGACTACATTACCAGGCAAAGACTAACCATATATCACTGCGAAAATACTTTTCACATGAAGGATAGCAGGAACCAAATACCACTGACTTTTAGTATAACTTGATGTCCCCTACAGCTTAACATGAGAAAGCAGCTTGTGTGCCATCCTCATGCACTGGGCCCTTCCAAACAAAACTAAGACTCAAATTTAACTTTAAAAAAAGTAGTATTCCTTTAGGGACTGTCTCTTACTCAAAAGTTCACAGTGACCTTATTCTGTTTTGTTTTATAATCTCCTGTAGTTTTCCTGTAGGGATGAATGATTTGCTGTGATATTTCTATTTGGCAGAACAATCTAGTGATGGAAAGTTCATATATTCCAGTACCATCGTAGCATTAACTCCCCTTTGGTATCAACAATCAAATATCCCTCATGTCCTTAAAATCAATTGCCCATTTGTTGGCACTGCAGCAGCTCCAGGCTGTGCATCTTAACAGCATCGGAGATAAGACTGTTATTTCTCTGGTCTTTTGAGAGAATTGTATATTTACAAGTATTGATCAGACAGGCCAACGCCAGGTGAATTCTAAAAAACAGTGTTCACCTCTAAAAGGGAGAGTGCTGAGAGAAGTACTGTGGGCATTAAAATGTAACATTAATGGCAGCCACTGTTCCACATTTACTGCATGCCTCACATAAACACACTAATCCGTCCCCAGTTTATATCACTGGTTAAACCAATCGGGTTTTAAAGCCTGTGGCAGCATTTCCACCAAGAGAGGCTAAACATGTCACAGCTCTGATAAGCACATTTACCTGCCTGACACTCACCTCTCTGGATTTCCACTCTTTCCCCTGTACCTCTAAGTAGGCAGATTAGGTGGTCCGTTAAACCCACAGGAAGGCAGTTATTTAGAAATATATGAAAGGGCAAAGTGAGCCAGGCTAATGACCGATGCAGTGTCACTGGCGCACTCTCGGGTCTTTTATCATTCTGTGGAGAGGGCCCCCGTCCTCTGAGTAACCCTCATTATATCTGAGCTAATGTTGGGGATGAGGATGTTCAAGTGATAAAGCACCATCACAGTCCTTCATTATACAGAAAGAGAAACAGACTCGGTGGAATTGTGCTCGACCTATAAGATAAATGCAATGGACGGAGAATAACTCCTATTTTAGCGACTGTGCCACATCCTGCTGTCTGCAGGGTGCGTCTCAGAGGGGAGACATGTTCACTCTTTGACCATGGGATGGCAGTCTTGGTATTCTGTAGACCCGGTCTCCTGTTTAATGCCTTCTGCATCATTAGCGCTCTCACTGTGCTTTCCACTACTAGGCTTCATTCAGTGGTGAATATTGACTGAATGACACAGTTTATCAGACCTTATCAAACAGGTTCATGCAGAATGAATGACTAGTTATATAATTATCTGTATGTTTATCTATTGAGTATAACAAATTATCACATAATTAGTAATAACATTAATTACATTAGTTAAATCTTAGAACAACTTCCCTAAGTTAATATAACCTGTTATCCATGTAAACATTCAATATATACTGATCTTGAAGTTAGGAAATATATTCTGGAAATTTATAATCATTTATTTTATTTTATAAAATGCACCGTGATTATTTAAAAAATAATTAAATATTACTTTCAGATTATAATATACATAGGATCAAACAGCATTGTTCCTAGATAGAACAGGATACATTTGTGTTTTTATGTTGCAACAAACAGAGGTCTGAATATCAGGAACATACTATAAACCTATATGTGGTATATGTTGTAAAGTAGGCCTACAGTATGGGATGCAACATTGCACTTACAGGGCACGTTAGACGCCTGAGGTGGTACAGGTTTATGTGCACTGTTTCACATTATGCTGTTCAATGCTGTTATGGAGTACAGAAGGTACATTTTCTTTTCTTTTTTAGGATGAGGTTTCTCAGTAAATGCAGCAGAACTGAAAACACACACAGCTGTAGAAGATGATCGATTTATACGTCCTGTCACAGTGTAACTGTCATGAACAGTAAAGGATACGTCATTGTATAATATCAAAACTAAAATACGATACAACAAGCTAGTCATTTCATTACTTTCATACTCACCACGTCTTTGCTAAATGTAAACTTCAAACAATTTCAACCTGCATCCAAAAACTGAAAAAAACCTAATACCACAACTACAATAACACCTTTCTGTACTAAACATCTCAACAACAGCTTCATGGAAGACAGTCTCAGCTGCGACTCACTTGTGTGCAGCTGAACCTCATTTCAGAATAGGTACCTGGTAGTTAAGATTACTTACTGTATAAATTATCTTTAAATTCCTCCCAAACACCAGATTGTTGCTCAGTAGGTCATACCAGTGGCGGACTCAGGCTGTCTGAGGGGGAGGGCTGAAAAAAATAAGAAGGGCACCAGCTGGGACCAGCTCACAGAAAGTCTTGATGCATTTATGCTGAAACAGTTCCAAACCTTGGTTGAGATTCACATTGTTTAATTATGTGACTCAGATTTAAATTATAACTACTAAAACTCTGTAATTAAAACACACAGTTAACCAGAGGCACAATCACCATACTTTACCCTGCAATAACAGAATAGGTATCCAGTAGTTTAAAAATACCTACAATATAAGTTATTTTTTAGGCTTCTACATCATCACTCCCTTCTTCCCTAACTTTACATTTTGTTCCCTGGTACCTACATGTATGTACTGTACTGATATACTGTCAGTACAGGTAATTATACTGTAAATTGGGAAGAATTACACTGTACATTTTACACCAGAATCTAAAGCGTTGCCAAATGAGAGTGACGACAGTCAGTCAACAACCCAAAACCAGTTATTATTAAGATCTTTAAAGTCCCAGTGTGTAGGATTTAGTGGCATCTAGTGGTGTAGTTGCACGTAGCATATGCCTCGCTTCACCCTCTCCCTTCCAAGCACGAAGGAGAAACTATGGTGGCCGTGAAATGTGTGAACATTTTTTCATAAATATAATAAAAACGACTCATTCCAAAGTAACAAAAACACAACTATTCCTAAACTCAGCTGATTATACACTAATTAAAACCTACCTATGAATATTATATTAAATTTCTGCCAATAGATCCTCCTAAATGTTACCCACTGGTCCTTTACCACTAAACCGTGAAATACCAGATCTGACCATACTGCCATTCTTGGCATGATGTCAGGCACTTTAGAACTAAGCAGTGTATATTTCTGCTATTATCACTGTCAGAGGAAGAAAGCAAACCTGTTTGGATTGTCATGAAACAACAGCTCATACTTCTTCTATCTGCACTGTGTGGCTGTAATAGCCAAACTATCAACAGCTCCACACTGCAGCACAAATGACTGTCAGTGGGAGAAAGAAAGAAAGCCTATTTGAACCATTTCGTATTTTCCCAGCCTTTTAAAAAGAGCGAGATGCTCCCTCAGCAAATCCTCAGTGCTGAGGTACAGTACAAATGATCCACAATGGTTAACAGTGTAATGGAGGAGTCTGTCAATAGGCTCACCACTCCATATAATAAGCTGAAGACCCTTCATATATGTTGAGCTTCTTGTCAATTCTTGGATGAACAATTATATATAAAGTGATGAAAATCAAATAAAGGCATTAGTAATAAATGACAGATTGTGTGTTCATCTTAATGAATATTCATTAAACTTAGGTTTCCTAATGTTATTTAATGCCAAAGACTTCGGTACTATTTGCTCTCATTAATATTTATGTTTTATATGCATACTATTTATTTTTGTGACTACTGTATATTCCCCGACTCACAGTATTTCCTGTCCTCATAACATCTCGTAAAATACCTTTATTTTGAAATGCCTGCACTGGAGTTGCAGCATCCTATAGAGCAGTGGTTCCAATGAGTGAGGAGATTAAAGGTGCAGGAACCCCCCCCCCCCCAACAAAGTTCTGCGACAAAAAAATAGTTTGGACTTTGAACTGAATCTTTGCTTTTTTAAATATTCGAGGGTTTTTATCTCTTTGAGCTTCAGGCAGTTATTTAAATGAAACCATCTGAGAAGCTTCAAGGGAAAATCTCTCTTTGGTGAAATTGCTAACAACTTCTGAAATATGACAAGAGGCCCAAACCACAAATCCCAATGAGCCACAAGCCAAAGAGGTTAGGAATTCCCCCCCCCGCTTTAGAGGCTGGCTACACGTGTATCAAATCCTCATTGGATGGCTCTTATCGACTGAGACGTTTTGTTGCATAAAGGCTATGCTTTAACTCATTCTGTAAAAGACAGAGCAGACAATAGTGATCATATAGAGACGTGGAGGGCTTTTACACATTTGGTCTAGCCTTGTGAACAGCTGGAACTTCTTTTACATGTGTATTACAATAGTGAATGTTTAAGTCAGTTCTTAAATCATGAACTCAAATACAAAAGTTCAACGTCTGGTATTTCTAAG